TGTTTTTAACGGTCGCTGGTTGCTTTTAACGACCGCACGGTTTAACGGCTGTTAGTTGTATTTAACTAACGGAAGCGACGCGAGGGGCTGCTGCACGGGGTGGAACGTGACCAGGGAGACGCTTCCTGATTAATCCCCGTATTTATTAATTTGTCCAGAGTAGGGTCCGTAGCTGCTGCAACTGAGGACCAAAATTCGTATTCTCTACCTGGAAAGCTCTCAGCCTCCTCTGCGACTTCTTTGTGTCCCCATTAGAAGTGGGTGACTAACCACCCTCCTAGGAAGGGCTTGGAAGGCTACAGAACAGGAGGAGTCAAAAACTAAGTGTTCTCATTGCACCTTTGCCCTTGGTCCTGTCGTTTCACTGGCAGAAAACATTATTCCCTTCACCCTTCCCTGTCCAGGCAGTATTTGAATAGTTATTGTTCAAGGGCTGGATTTACCTCCTCTGATTTTCTCTAGAATCAGATTTACTGCCCGTTCTTGTGTTGAAATGTATGTGGTGGGAAAACTCGGATGACAAAAAGGTTTCCATAAATGGCACCAAGCTTGATTGCCAGGCTTGATAGTGAAATCAGATGAACGTGGACTTCTGTTTCCCTTGACCTTTTCCAGCTGGCGTTTGGGAAACATGCATGTTTCTGAGGCAGGCGGGGGAGTATTGCTGAGCTTTACTGTCTGAGCAATGCTGAAGTCACTGTCTTCAGGCCAAACGAGGCCTTCTTCTGTGCCAGATGCTGTCCAAACAAAGGTGAGGGCGTTTCTTATGCGTGTTTTAAAATTAGAGCTTTTTCCTGCTGGACTCTGGATCCAACCTTTTGCTACTCTCTTAGAAACTGTAAATATTTGGTAGTTTGTTATCACAACCCTTCTGGCCTTAAATACTTACCCAGCTTTCCTGTGCTGTAGCAACCTATCCAAGCAAATGTGCTCAAACAAGAATAAAATGAATTCTGGGTACCTTGGGATATGAGTTGGGTCCCTGCCTTATCTTGTATTCCCTCAAGCTGTGTGCTAAAAGACAGTGGCGCTCTAAATTAAACCCTTAGTAGTTACTCTTCAACTGGTGAGAACCAGCTGCTTATGGACATGGCTTGGTTTCCCTTTGCAAATTGCTCAGCTTTTCTACCAGCCAAATGGAAAATAAAATCCAAGAAGGCTCGGAGCAGGATTAAAATAGCCCAGGAGGGACGGGCTGTGAGGTGAGGGAGTTTGGCACTGGCAACTGCAAGCACTCCTTGTTTCTGTGCACTTTCCTCTGCCCTTTTGCTCTCTCAGCTGACCAGTTTGCGGAGCTCTCCCAGGAGGAGGAGGCCTGGCAGCCCACGCAGCTGCTTTGGGTCAGGGCTGGAGCTGCTCAGCTGCAGAAAGTAAATACATCTTGTTTTCGTCTTCAAATCATTACACAACAGGAGCAGGAAGTGATTGTTTACAATGCCGTTAGAGAGGGCCGATGGAAAATACCTCCCGCTGTACCCTCCGAATGGCTGAATTTTAGGGCTTCAGAACGACAGAAGTGGAACAGCTCCAAGAAAACAGAGAAAAGGCAGAGTCAGGAGCGCCACTGTTTACAAAACCTGCCCAGACTCTGGTTGCAAAGCAAATGGCTTTCTTGGTCTTGTTCTGCCACCCACTGCTGAAGACTGCATTTTCCTCAAAGGCTGTTCTTCCCCTTCTGGTATTTTTGAGGCCGAGATTTATTTTTTGATGATTTTCTTCTGCTCGTTTCTGCGCTTGGTCTTAGGTCTATTCTGATTAAACTTCCTTGATTTGTATTTATTGAGGCATTGGAAAAGAGCCCTCAGAGCTTCCCAGACAGTCCCAAGGGAGCTAAGGGCGGGGAGCGCTGGCTCCTCCTGTGATCTGCAGTGATGGGGAGGCTGCACGAGCTGGTCGAGTCCCTGACGCGTCTGCGGCAGAACCTCTTTGATCTGGATGCACGAAGGAAAACCCTGACAGCAGCCCTCTGCTTTCATGTGATAAACCTGACCGTGTGGCTGGGTCTGTCGTGGGAGTCCAGAACAATTCTCAGAACTGAATTGTGGTCACTGTTGGAGGAACAGGGTGTTCTGAGTGCAGTGAGAGTGCGTGGTTGCTGGGCCACGTCCTTGCACTTCCTGTAGAGAGCGCGAGGCCCCCAAAGCATTGGGCACCGACTGCACCTCCCACTGTTCTTGAAGATACTGTTTTGAACTGGCTGATCTACTGTTGAGAGGCTGCCAAATGCCGCAAGATTTGTTTGCAGCGCACTGCGTAACCGGTGAGATTAGCAACACGGACCTTAAACCTCGCAGACCGATGGCTAACGTCAAGTCTTGTAATGCACGTAGGCGTAGATCCGCGGTTAGTGAGCAACAGCCCCTGGATAGATGATAAACATAGAGGTTTCACCTCGGCCTCTCTGAACCAAATATCCCCACAGCAGGTTTGGTTCTCTGATATTTATTTTATATCGGGGAAGCCAATTCTCTTTAGTGAAAAAGCAGCAATAGATAAAGGCTGAATTCCCTCTCTTGGCTGTGGGGAAAAAAGGAACTCCAATGAGTTCCAATGAATCGTCTCTCTTGGGAGTCATGGTGTAATGCTTAAAACAGATTTGGCTTGATGGTAGTTTGGAAAAACATCTTGATCTGAGCTTAGTTAATGGGTCAATTTGCCCTCACAGTGTGCTGTCACATTCCTGGTGTAGCAACTGTGCTTTAGGAAGTGGGATTCCTTGAAATGAAGATTGCTGTTGCAATCTGATGCATCTATATCTATTTGTATTAATTGCTGAGGACATTCTGTGACATGGTTTAATATGAGATTGATTAACAGTGTAGAGGAAAATAGTGATACAGGAGGAACTAATCAAATGTCTAAAATGCTGGATAGGTAGACCACAAATACTGATTTAGTTGATAACAACAGCGTCTTACTGGCTGCCAGGAATAATAGGCATGTTTTTTATTATTTTTATTACTTAAGTTTTTATAGCAAAGAAAGTGTTATCCCCTTGAACCAGAAAGGAGGAGAACCCTATGAATCTAGGAGCGGTACCACTGGTAACCCTTCCTGCTGTTGAATAGCTGTGAGCTACAGATAAGTCATTTTCCTTGACTTCTCTATCCCTTCCACTGTTAAGTGCAGGGGGGATCTCTGGCAGGTGAGTCACAGAGGAGATCTCCCTCTCCGATACCCTCTTTGTGTCACCTCTGCTGTGTACAAATGTCACTGCGTATGGAATCATTCAATGCCTTTAGTCTAGAAGGCAGTCTGGAAATAAACTGCGAGAGAACGTGGAAGAATTAAATTAATACTCCTGTGCTTGGCATATGTACCCAAATAGGCCCTGCAAATCTGTGCATGTCCAGGCATGTTTGCCTACAAATAGCAATGACTACAGTGACCTGAACTGTGCAAAATCCGGTGTTGTATGGGGGTGTGTGTGTGTCTGGTTCTGCATTAAAATAGAGTTCTTTCAGGAATGCTAATTTGTTGGTCAATATAAAGTACCCTGAGTTAGTTCTGAGAAATTGGAGAGCATTTCTGCTGTCTTGGAGGTTACAAAGGTGAAGATTGTCAGGATCAAAGGAGTGAGAAAAGGCCGAGTGAGAGCTAGAGGGAAGCCCTTCCAGGAGATTAACTTCTAACTCCATGTGAAAGGGAATTTGCTGTTCTTTTTCCAATTTAAAAGAAATCGAAAAACCAGTCCTTTATCTGGACAGTAAGGTATATACTTTCTGCTTACTAATGTAAGTACAGAATCCAAGCGTGGTGTGGAAGGTGTGCTTGCCAACATACGCAGAGAGAAGCTCTCAATGTGCCACCTTCTCGTTCTGTATTCTGCCTTTCACAGGGTGCCTCTTCCCTGGAAGCAGAGCTGTTACTTGCCATTCTTATTGGCTTCCCAAGGTATTTTTGTAACAAGGGTGTCATAGTACTTGGGGAGGGGAAACAACGTTTGCTTTAACTTGATGTTCTGTCAAGAGAAAACATCTGGTTTGATTTAAGAAGTTGGTGGTTTCTTGGCTTGTCTGATTACACCACACCTATCCTGTCCTTAACATTTGGGCTAATATTTATATACCCTTTCAGTTTAGCAGTCAGTTTTCACAGCTAGCACTGCTCCCTAGCAGTCTGCTCCCGCTCTTCTGAACCTGTGATAACGTCTTTTAGGTTGATTCCGTCACCATCTTGCCTTGGTCCTCAGCCACGTTAAGAAGCCTGGGCATCATGCTCCGTTGAATTTCAAAACTGTTGGGAAATTCTGGCCTGGTTTCTGTTTCCCTTTCCAAATACACTTCCAAGTTCTGCTCTGAAGCCACAAGATTGGGAGCTTAGAGCAATGAGTGTGATTGCTGAGATCCCTCTGCAGTATCATGATCCAGGACCTGGGCATTCAGGAATCCTTCCAGCCATTACAGGTCTTTTGGTAGAATTGTAGCAATAAAATGGATATTCACCCAGGCAGATTTTCATTTGTCCTAAATCCATACTCGTAAAAGCATCCTGGGACAGCAGTGCATCCGACTATATCCATACCAGATATCAGACACTCTGTCTATCAGACAGCAAGCTTTAAACAACATCCTTTGTGTCGTGATTCCTTTTGCTTGACACCCTTGCTTGGAGGCCCTGCAACTGTAGGCTTTGAGGACAGAAGCAGCAATACACGAGCTCTGATTGGAATCACCAGCATGGTTCCTCCGACACTAGTGTCCTACACAGGCCGAGACAGTGACCTTTTCGCAGTGTCAAGGACTGCTTTTGCAGGGCAGGTCTAGCCTGGCCAGCTCTGTCCTTTTTTCACTCATAAGAGTCTCCTGCTGCTCCTTCTGCAGAGCCGCGAGTGTCGGAACAAACTCTCGTCATTGGACAAGGACAGGTCAGGTCAGCTGTGGTATAATCCGTGGCACATAAGCAGGGTGTGTTTCCTGGTAGTTAGAGGTGTCTGGCCTTAGTCAGGGTGGTGTGCTACTGCATAAATATTTATTAACGTTCGTCTGTGATGACCTGCATAACTCGCCCTTGGCTTCAGCGTTTGCCAGCAGAGGCTTGTCCCAGACATATCCTGATTTAAAACTATTCCAGTCTTTCTCTCCTTGCAAAAAATCTTTCAGAAAGAGGACCATGCTTCAGTGCTCCTCCCTGGGACTGACCATAGCAGCCTCTTGAAGAAATAGGTTGATTTTTTTTCTTTTGCATCTGCTTCAGATCTGAGGCAGCAGCCATTGCCGGCCTGTCCTGCCAAGCTTGCTGATAACCCGTTTGGCTGGTGCTTTTTCTTGTCGGAAGCCGTGGTCTATCTGTTGATCGTAGACAGCAGGGCTGGTCATCTAGGCCATCCGCTGCCCTGGGCAGTGCCAGTGCCTGACCACTGCTAGTCTAGTGTTGCCTGAAAGAGCTGCCCCTTACGCAACTGCGCTGTCAACAAATTTGCCATATGTTTTCCTTATGTTCTACCATCTGTATCTTGTGCTGGGTGAGCTCCTTTTAGACAGGACTATCCTTTCGACTGCCTGTGAAGCGCCCAGTGCAGTAGACGACTGTGCCCTGTAGCCAAGGCTCCTGGGCACTTTCAGCAGAAATAGTTAATGCTGCAAAAATCTGGCTTAATGTTCTACTGAACCTTCATAAAGATCCTGTCCTTTCTTGCCATGAAGTATGTTGTATGCCCACATATCCTGATTCAAAACTATCCAAGTCTTCCTCTCCTTGCAAAAAATCTTCTAGCAAGAGGATCATGCTTCAGTTGGGAGAGCAGCTTCAGAATGATTTCGGACAAGACAACAGCAGATTCCTCTGTTCTGTGCACTTTGGAAGTTTCACTGTTGGTGCTTAGGAGTTGAAACAGCAGTTGGAGGACAACCAGGCAATTTTCCTCGCTTATGCAATGCTCGGAAAATATTTCTGTCTTTCAAAAGGTCTTAGCCATGAAGTCTTGCCAGGCAGAGCCAGTAAAACGTGTGCATGTTTTTCTTGTTGCCATCTTGAGCTCTTGCATCCCGGGACAGTGGCGATGCTGCCTGCCTTCATGACTGTGCCTGGTGATCTCACACATGAGTAGAGATGGGGCTTTTCGCCTTCCGGTGGGTGTGAGCAGTTAAATCTTTGCTCAGCTCTTTTAAAATAGCAGTTGCAGCCGTGCCCCGGCAGCGGGTACCTGTGCCGCTGTCCCCAGCTCCCCACCGTGCTGCTGAAGCTCCCCGGTCCGTTCCTGCTCGGAGTCCCCGAGCTGCTGGAACAAGGGGCACCATATTGCCGGGGGAAAGGGCCGGTGAGAATGTGCAGCAGCAGCCTGGGCTGTGTGAACGGTTCTGCTTCACTTTACATGTAGGCCAAGGATAAACCAGAGCTGGGTCCTGCAGCCAAGGGAAAAGTGCTGCCTCAGTGAGCACAGCTGCAGCTTTGGGAGAGCTGCAGCGGAAGGTGGAGTCTGTAAAACCCAAGCAGTTGTAGGAAACGCAGATGTGCAGACACCGCTGATAAAAGCGGGAAGGAAAGTTGTTTGCAGCGCAGTTGCTGGCACCACCCTAGGTGCTAGGCCCATGTTTGCAGTCAGATCACTCTCAAGGGCCTCTAAGCGCACTGTGGGTCTGTCCCTCCTAGTCCCTGCTCCATCATTTCTTGCTACACTTTCTTGTTGTTCTTATGACTTAGAGTTTACTTAGCCTAATCTACATTAGGCTAAAGATTGTATTTATAGGCATTCCTTGCTGCCTGGTGTTAAGGATACTTTGCTGAGATACAGGATCAACATCTACCTCCCACCACAAGCTGAGGAGGGATTGAGTGACTGTCAGCTCTAGCTCCTAAACTGCTGTGCAAAGGGAAACGTGCGCTGTACGAGGCTGGATGTGATGCACCCTCAGGCGTTTGAGAGCAGGGTTGTCCCTCCAGATCCACAGCCCTGCTTGGACAGGAGATAGTTGTGGAAGCTGTTGGCTCATCAAGACCAGAGGAGTTAGAGCTGAAGATGTCCTGGAGACTTCTGTCTAACCCTCCAGGGTCCTGAGCAGTTTAGGTAGGGTTTTCCTGGGCAGCTTTCCTGAATGAAGATTTGGGTTCTTCCTGGGCAGAGGAGGAAGCAAAGTGCACTTGCTGCAGCAGTGACACTTGCCCATTAAGGGATCCAGCAGCTGCTGCAGCCAAGCAGCACGTGCGGTCATCGCACTGTGGTTACCTACTGGTCAACTGTGTCCAGCAGGGAGGCTCCTAAGGCCCCGGCCTGTCCAATTGGAAAGGTCTTGTCTTGAAGATGCTGCATATGGACAGCGGGACAGGAGAGCTGCAGCTATGGTGCATCAGATGTGAGACTAGGGAGGGCTTAAGAGCTCATGCCCTGGATTCCTTCTGAGCAAGTAGTTGGCAAGACCTTGAAGAAATGTGCTATAGCAGCAGCCTGACCTGCCTTAGTCTAAGGCACATCCAACCCCAGCCTGTCAGGGGATAAAGCAATGCTGTTTTAGAGGTGGGATCCTGAGGCACTGACATGTAGCGGGTACCTAATCCTCCTATTCAGCTGTGTTCTTGTTTAGCTGCTGCCTCCCCTTTCCCTTTGCTATTAGGTTTAAACCAGTATTTCTCAAGGTTACATTTGACAGTGACCAGTAACTCAGCATCAGTGAGCTGTTATAGCTCTGGGTCTTTGTTTTATAGCACTTTTTATTTTCAAGGCCCCTTTTTTTATTATTCTATGTTTAAGTGCCATATGCAACAGAAGATGCCTCTTGCCCTGATCATAGAATCACAGAATGCTTAAGGTTGGAAGGGACCTCTAGAGATCATCTAGTCCAACCCCCTGCACACGCAGGGTCCCCTAAAGCACGTGGCACAGGACTGCGTCCAAGCAGGATGGAAGATCTGGAGAGAAGGAGACTCCACAACCTCTCTGGGCAGCCTGTTCCAGTGCTCTGGCACCCTCACTGTGAAGAAATTTTTCCTTAAGTTCCTGTGGAACTTATGGTGTTTCAGTTAGTGGCCATTTCCTCTAGTTCTGTCGGTGGCCACCACTGAAAAGATGTCAAACAGCAAGTTCTTGTGCTGATAACAAGTCTCAGAGGCCCTAGTTGTAAGACCTTGCAAAGTTAGCATAGAGCAGAGTTAGCATAAAGCCTGCGACCTGTCATAGCAATGATAATTGCTGCATTTACTGGACCGTCGGGAAACAAAGTGCTACTAGATAAGCCAGCCTGGGCTCGTGACTGTTGATGCTGCTCCACGGAGTGTGAGCGGTAACTATTGTGTCTTCCCTCTGCGGCCCTTCCTAGAGTAACAATAATGCAAGAGGCAGGTCAGGTTTGTAGGGAGGCAGCTCCAGGGAGCAGCCCAGCCACCTCCAACACCTCCTCCTTCACCTGCTGTCTCAAAATGAGGTGCTCACGTGCCACTACCATGGCCTGGAGGACCCTGTGGTCAAGGAATGAGTGTGAATATTGAAAGTATCAAGGATGATCAAAGAGCAAGCAAGCTTTTTCTTAGTGCCTTTTGCAACAGTAAGTATGAATTCAGAAGGAAAATGGGTTACAAATGTGAGAATAATTATAGAAAAAAATCTTTTGGTGTGGTGATCACCCCTCCTCTCCACCCTCCCCACACTCTTTGCTTATTTTTTCCCCTGTTTCTACAATGGTTTCAGAAATACATTGTCTCAGACCAATAGCTATTGTAGCTACAGACCTATGGCAGCGAGGGAGGTCCATCTTGGCAAGGCTGCTCTCTGTAGGGTCAAGGCGCTGTGCCAGAAAGTGCCTGGAAACATAAACGGGGAAAAGGAAATGGCTAAAACCCAGCCCCACTTGGGGCATTATCTCCTCTGGGGAAACAGCCAGAGGACTTAAGAAGTCTAAACTTAGTGTCAGTACCATAAAGAAGCTACACTGCTGCCCAGCGCTGATGTTCACGAGCTGCGTTTGCTTAACATAAGCAATTTTTTTGTTTGTTTGTTTTCTTCTTGAATTTGGAGTAGAACTTGGTAATCTCTGACGACTTAACTCAAGTCACTTGGCTTCACTCTGTGTTGCTCTGTTTCCTCACCATGGGTGGTGATTGGAATAGTTGGAAGCCATGAAGGGTTGATGACTGAACCTGAGATTTGGCTGAAAACCTTACTGCAGTAAAATGTGCAAAAAATTCCCTCTTGTCTATGTGGGGCTTGCAGGGTGGTTGCTTTTTTTGTATGAAGCAGTACAGACAGATGCTTCTAACTTTTTTTTTCTTCATTTTCTTCCTTCCAGCGGATCGTTGTAAAGAAGTGCAGCAAATCCGAGAGCAGCATCCAAACAAAATCCCAGTAAGTGCCTCTACTTGCTCTTCTGCATTTGACTTCGTTCTCTTGACCACTCTATGCTACTGGCATTAGACTGGCTCTTCATTTCTCCAGAGTTGTGGCAGAGCTAATTACAGGGGCTTAAAGTACTAATAGTGAGGAGAGGCTAGAGATGGACTGTGTACAACTATACGAATACGCGCATATATGAAGTGTCTATATGCAAACAAATGTTGCCTGGGAAACAACCAGAAAGAGCAAGAGCTCTGCATCCACATGCAGGATTTCGGCAGCATCACTGAGGCACTGGGAGAGCTTCCACAGCTGGAGGGCTCTTTATGTTGAGATCAAGCACCACGTGCCCCAGGGGAGGGATGCTGTGTCACCAGGCCTTGGCCACCAGTGTGATTGTTTGGGAGCCTTGTGTGCAAGAGCATTTAGCTCTGGAAGGGGCCTCAGCCCTCCCACACCCACTCTAATGACCTCTTTATCCTATACTTCAGCATTCTTGGAAGTGAGGAAGCCCTCTAGGTTTCCTGCTGCTGTGGGTTGCATAGCTGCTTCCCAGTAACCACAGGCCTGGTGCTTGGCTTTTCTTTGAATGTTGGGACAGGGGCACTAGAGAAGGCTCTACCTTTGTGTGGTTGTGGGATGAGGAAAGAGGAAATTAATTTCTAAATCTAAGCTGACTGGATTGGTGCTGGGGATATGTTCATTTTTATTGTTCCAGCAAGCTGTGAATAACCACAAAGAGAGAAGGAAGAGTGCTTTGGGTGGTCCAGCTATATATCTGTCTGGTATCTCCTTATTAGTCCCTGACTCAGGTTTGGTGCCATTCCTTGTCACATATGCAGCCTGTAATTCAGTGGGTTTAGCTTTCAGTGCTAGGGATGTGAGTAGAGCCACGTACTAGGAAATGGAGCAGGGTGTGGGGGAAAGCTGTGATCCAGAGCAGTGCAGGTGAATAAAGTGCAGGAAGGTCTTAAGCTTTTGTGGAAAAACAGGAACTGTTTTTGCCAAAGTGCCTGGAGAGGCCTCTGGAATGAGCAAAGAGGTTTGAACCCCAGGCTAGGGTGAGTCTGGGAGGAAGAGGCAGATATTTCCTCAAGCTGCATCCTTGCTGCTGGTGGACCATGTAGCTGACTGTGCTGCAGCTGCTGCCAGCCTCTCACAGCTCCAGTTGCTGCTCTGAGTCTTGGATGAGTCCCTCTCTGCTTTAACAGAGGGTCAGGAGGATTGTGGAGTGCTTTGCTTGGCCTTGTGCCTGCTGTTTCTCCCCCGTTTCCCTGAGAGTGCTTTGAAAGGAGGCTGAGGAAGGGGCTGTGCCATGTGCCTGAAGGGAGGCCAGAAGAGCAACAAAACCTGGCTTCTCCTGCAGCTTTGCTCTGACACCCTTGCTCAGTGCCAAGAGAGGTGGCCAAGGAATGAGCACCTTTGTGGACCCCCATATGCTGCTTGTCTTGCTCATCCAGCTCCCTTTGTTCTGGATGGGCTTTCCAGAGGGGGTCTATGTGAAGAGCTTCCCCCGAGACCACTTACACCTCCTGTGTTTGGGAGCTGTCTGCACCCTCCTGGTTGGTCATCTGAGCACTGCCTGGATGCTCCCAGCTCTCTGTTGATGTTGCAGCATCCTGACAAAAGTGTTTGGCCTTGATGAAGATGGAGCCTGGGACTTCTGCCCAGGTGGTAGTGCCTTTATCTTTTGTGATTCCTGTAGCTGCTCCTTTCCACTGCACACACGGTCCTTCCCTGCACTCTCTCTCCATGTTGGCTAGCTCTAGTTCAGTTCAGGCTTTTAGAGTTTAGGGCATGAGGAAGAGTCTTGTTTGAGCTGCATGGAGACTCCACAGAGCTGGGGTTCACCTGGGGCTGCTGTACTGAGTGGTGCTGAGCATCTGTTCTGTGGACTCTGTGCTCTTGTACTGTCCCAGGGCCCCAGTGAGGGGGCTTTTGCACGTGGAGGCTGTGACAAAGCTGTGTAACAAGCCAGGTGACCTCTTGGTGCTGTCTCTTGGGGAGAGCTACTGCTGCTTGAGCTAAGCATCCCTCTGCTGGCTCTTGTCTGGTAAGACTTCTTGTTCTGGTAAGGTCAGTGTTGCAGCAGTCTCCACCAGATGGATTTCACTCTGCTGCAGGGTTGTATCTTTGGAGAAGCCTCTCTCTGGGTAAGAAATGAGTCTTCCAGTGTGGTCAGTGGATGAGCGTAAAGACTGTTGTCCCTGGGTCTCTCCCTGTCACGCTGGGTGGCAGCTGCTTTCCTGCATTCTGGGAACTGGTGATTCCTTCTTGCTCCGTGTTGCTTCTGCTTGCATTTGGCATGTCTCCCACAGCCACAGCAGAGGTTAGAGACCAGTGAAGGAGAGAGTGGAGCAGCTGTCAGATCCAAGGATAATCTGGGTCCTTATCATCACGCCGCTCCCAGCAGCTGTCTGGGATAAGATGCTTGTAAGGCAAGAGGCCTTCCATTTGGAATAGATCTGCATGTTCCTCCACTATGCCTTCCTGCAGGGACCCCAAAGCTTGTAGTTACTACTTGTATCAGTGATCAGAGAGCTGGAGTTATGTTGCTGTTGCTGATAGAGGCTGGTGTATCATCAAATGATCAAGGAGAAGGCAAACTGAGCAATGTTCCCACAGATTAGCCTGTTCCCTTTGGCGCCACAGAGCTGCCACCTTGGGATCCAGATGTGAAGTCTCCCTTATTTTTTGGAAAACTACTGTGAAAATGATTTATGGGAGCTTCCTGCCTTACACAAAAAAAATGTTCTGTCTGAATTTGGAGAGGACAGTGAACTGGTAAGTATGCAGGTATCTTTCTGGGGAGAAACGTGTTAGGTACTGAAGAGATGAGGGAGTGTGAAGTGTCGCTGTAATGAGAATGTGTTGAGCTCTCCACAACAAAGCCGAAGGTCCCTGCTCTGCTTAGGTCCCTTTCCCATTTCTCTGCTAGAAGGAAGTTGGGGGAGCCTTACCTCCACTTTTCCACTGTGTTACTTTGTTTTTTGTATGTCCTTGGGCCACTGCACACTGAGACTGACCCTACCCTTGTCTTTCTGTGCAGGTCATCATCGAACGCTACAAAGGCGAGAAGCAGCTGCCAGTGCTGGACAAGACCAAGTTTCTTGTCCCAGACCATGTCAACATGAGTGAATTGGTCAAAATAATCCGGTGAGTGGGACCCCCAGGACTGATGTGTTGTGAACCCACCCTCACCCACAAGTGCTGATCACAGCAAGAGTGATGGGGAGAAGATGAGGTAGAGGCAGCTACTGAGGGTGGGGACTGAGGACTGGACACTCACAGCATCCTTTTGTTGGGGCACAGACCAGTAGTGTATGAGTCCAGCATTGTAGCTTCCGCTGAAAGGCAGCGGCCCCTGCCTCATTTGGCTGCTCCATGAGCTCATGAGGAGGACTCCAATCCTCCTTGTGTATCCTGCATTTGAGATGAGAGACCCCTCTGCTCTAGGCAGCAGTGCTGGGTGAAATATGGATTGCAGAGCCCCAACTCAGGAGCCATTGGAGGCCAGAACAGCTCTGAATGGCTCGTAAGCGCCATGTCCTGACCGTGTGGGAGAAGGTCCTGGGTGTGCAGGCCTTGGCTCTTCATGAATGGCATTGAAGCAGGGGCAGACAAGACTTGCTGTGACAGCACCTGATTCAGGCTCTTGTCCCCACAGGCGTCGCTTGCAGCTGAATCCGACCCAGGCTTTTTTCCTGCTGGTGAACCAGCACAGCATGGTGAGCGTGTCTACCCCCATCTCGGAAATCTACGAGCAGGAGAAGGACGAGGATGGCTTCCTCTACATGGTCTATGCCTCACAGGAGACCTTTGGCTACTGAGCCCTTGTGGGAGATGGCGTGTGGAGATGAATGAACTGTGGTGCACAGGCCCCCAGCCTTGGAAGATAATTCAACCAGAGTCTTGCCAGAGGGGGCTGTGTTTGCTCCTTTCATCATTACCCAGTCACCAAAAAGGCTCATGGTGTATGTGGGACTTGCACAACCCTTTTCCTCTCTGTGTAGATTAGTCTCATTCCTTCCTCAACCCCCACACATGCGCATTTACGTACACGCATCCCCGTGCGCGCGCCAGGCCTCAGCTTCCCGTCGCGTCCCCTAGTGTAGCCCTCAGCTGCTCTCCGTGTGTCGTGTATGTGTCTGTGTGCGTTTCTAGCCTACTGCCAAAACAGCGCGGTGGTGATGGGGAGAGGAGAGGGCAGGGTCGCCTTGGCTTTCGCTGCAGGGAGAGCTGCCTCCTCCTCCAAGAGGACACTAAAAAAGGCAGGAAGTCTGCAAAAACAAACATTATCATTGCTCCTGAGTTTTAATTGATTTTAATTATGTGTGTATCAGAATTTTGGTGCTACTGAGTAGATGTAGGCGTCTTTATAGGACTGTGGATAATGTATATCCTTTAGATTTTTTTTTTCTTTTGAGGGATGGATTGGAATGGGGCAATGGGGTAGTCTTTCTTGTATTCTGTAGGTAAGACAGGCTTTGTTGCACTTTAAAGCATAGTAGATGTGAGAGTGGAATTTACTCTTAATTTATACGTTTGCCATATATAGTGCTGCTCCTCTGTTGACAGTTGTACCTAGATTGTTTTTTTTTTCATTTGTTAATAAAACTGACTTCCATCTGTCTCCCCATTGCATGCAATTTTCTCCTCTCAATGTGGCAAAGAGACAGTTCACTCAAGGATGTACTGATTTATATTTGCTACAGTCCCCTTCCAATTTTTCATGTGTTATACCCCCCAAAATTTATATGATAATTCCACCCAGTTTAATCTATACAAATGTGTATATATAAATATAAATATATATATATAAATAAACATGAATTCAAGTTGAGTCTCGTAGGAATGTTCTGTTCCCTTCTCATTTGTGTTGATGTTCCTAATACATGTAGACTGGTGTGTTGTATGCCCAGTGCTGGGCACTGGTTAGCCCAAGCTGTGGTGAAAGGAGCTGGATGTGGTTCAGAGTGGAAACTTCATTGAGAGAACAGAGCGCAGGATGGTAATTTGGGAAACATGGTTATCCTTGACCTATGTGTTAGGTGGGTCTCTTGTCTTGTAATTTTTCCTTTGTAAAAATATAGACCCACTAGGCAAAGATGCACCCCTGGAGTTGAGCATGGCAATTCTAGAGGATGCTTCCACTCCCACTCTGTGCCATTCCCCTTACTACGGGTACGTACATCCTCACGCCTGCTGGTTACTCTTTAGACCAAGCATATTGGTGCTGGGATGGTATGCAACAGAGCTGGCTGAATCTTTGCACATTACCAAGACTGTGGTTGTCTTTTAAAGCAGATGTGAATGCTGCAGACTCCTGGATGTGACAGTTGACCACTCAGCAACTCCAACCGTGACAACTGAGCCTGGAAGGGGACCAAAAGGCACATATGAAGGTCTTGAGTCTAAAAAAAAAAAAAAAAGAAACTTTCTGGGACACATGAAGTGACACCTCTGGGGAGGACAGCGCTAGGAGGCACGTGGAGGGTTTGGGATGGCACTGAAGGAACCAGGTTCCCTGGTTCTGGCCATCTCCCAGGTGGGACCAGGTTGGTCCACAGTTCCTGCAAATGCTTCCCTGTCCCAGACAGCCTGACACCCCAGCAGCTGCAGTGGTCCCAGGCCCCTGCTTGGCCATGACAAGTCTGTGATAGGCCTTGTCATCTGCACTGCACCACAACCCTGCTGCAGAGCTCTTTGGATCTGTGGAGACTTGTATCACAGCAACTACAGCAAGCCGCAAGGTTTGTGCTCTGCTGAATTCGCGAAAGGTGCTTGACTGCTTGCCGTGAAAATGCTTCACAAGAACCCCGAAGCAGAGCAGCCTTAAAGCCACGGGCACCCTGACATAATGACTGGAGCTGAGCTCAGCAATGCAAAGGTGAGGGTGAGTGGTGGGAGTCCCCTCTCCTTCCCTGATGCCTCCTTGGTAGCCTGAGCTTTCCCTGTTCACTTGAAAAAATGTGCTGTAGCTGTCAGAAGAGAAGCTCCTGCTCCTCTGCCTTGACACTAGGTGGAAGGTCTTGTCCCACTCTTGGAGAAGCTGCTGATGGCTGTTGTGATGAGCTGTAAGTAACAAGAGCAGCAAAAGAATACCAGGAGTTGGGAGCAGCTCATGGAAGTAAACTCTTTATTCTCTACCGGGGGAAGCTCCCTGGGGGTTTCCAACATTGGAGCATGAGGTGGGTGCTAAGGGGTAGTACAGGAGATTTGAAATCCTTACTGTGGACTCTCAGCATCTCGCTCAGAGCCTTGGAGGATGGATGGGAAGAGAGGAGGTGACAGTTCCTCTGAAAATTGTGCTTCTCCCTCTGAAGGCATGACCATTCCAGGGATAGTGATAGGTGGGAGCTTTGTGCCATGTTGTCGCTTAAGTAATTTTTTGGCAGGGATTTTCTTTTCTTCTAGCCTTAGAAAGGCGTGGCCTAGAGAGCTCTCCTCCCCATCTCTTAGTCTGGGCTGTTTTGTGACCCGTCTTCTACAACTTACTCCCGAAGCCCTAGCAGTCAGAGGATAACCACACTGCCCTAACACCTGGTCCACTAGCGCACTCTCGTCACTACTTTCTTCTGAAGAGTCCTCAAAGGATCTTGCCTTTGCATGCGTTTCTTTTTCTAACTTCTTCTTCTCCTTCTTCAGGGTGTCCAGAGCATCACAGACGACCATTTCAGCATAGGCTTTTAAATCTGCATGGAAATGCTGAACTTTGGAAATGGCATCTTGGATGCTACGCCTTGCAAGTCTACTACTCTCTCGGGATAGAGCAGAAGCACTTTGCAAAGGCTGCAGCAGGGGCAGCCTCAAGGCTTCTGATGTCCAACGTTCAGATTCACTAGATGATCCTTCCGTTTCTTTTGTGACCCGAGTGGAGACATATCCCTGGGGTGGCTGCGGTTGTCTCTTAGAAGCAGCATCACGGGTCGGTTTCCATCTGTCAGAAAACTTATACTGGAAATGTTGTTCAAATTCAGAAGATGCAAAAGATTCTAAGGTGGCACCAACATTTTCAACAACATTTGTGGGCATTTGATGAAGAGAAGGCAGAGAAGATGCTCTGTCGTAGCCTGCTGCCTCAGCTTGGTTCGCTCTGCTATCTCCAGATTTGTCAGCTCGTGTGACTCGTGTGGAAACAGGCTGCTGCCTCTGCCTGGGCTGGGAGGCGTCGGATGGGCTGAATGCCCCTCGCTTCCCCAAGCGATCCAGAAGGGTTGCGGCCATCTCTCTAGCTATCTGTCCAACTTCTTGCTGGAGATCTGGAGGCAATGTCTTGGAAGGCTCTGTTCTCCTCACGCTTGCAAACAAACTTCCACTGATAGTCAGTGGAGACCTCCTTAAAACCTGGACTGAGGGATCTGGGTGTTTCAGTGTCCCCAGCACTTCCTCGAGCACCTTCTCAGCCAGCTCATCCAGCTCCTGGTCTTCTGTCAGCTCAGTGCATGTCAGCGTGGTTTGGACTTCAGGATGCTCTTCTGTTAAAGGCTTCTGTAACAGAAAACATCAGGAACTGGTGAGTGAATTGTGAAGAAAAGGGGAGAGGAGAGAAAATGGGATGGACTCTCCTTGCTCTTCTGTCATGGGTGCTGCCTGCTCTCTGGACACTCTCTCTGCCTCTTATTTTGTGGCTCGCTTGCACCTTTTCCAGTGCTGGTGTAAAGAAGGTTGAGTTTTGGCCAAGAGAAAAAAGGCAAGTCCTTTCTGGAGCACCTAGCTGCTGTCATACTTTCCCGTGCCCCCCTACTGAGAACTGGGCAACAACAGGCTCTCCTCTAAGGTAATTTTCAAGCTCCTGCAGGAGGAAACTAACCCACAAATGGCTAAGCACTGTCACTATGGGCCTCCGGGACACCCTATTATTTGGCTTCTCACCACAGGAGAAATCACCAAAAGGGACGTGAGGACACGTGGTGCAGAGAATATTTGTGCTGAGCGTGGGAGTCCGAGAGCACAGGAGCCTGCTAAGGGCATCAGGCACACCTGGTCCTGCTCAGCCTGCTGAGGGAGGCGTTCATCATCTTCAGGAGCCTCCAGCTCTTCCACGCTCTCTGCCGTCATGGTGAGATACCTGTGAAGGGAAACCCAGACAGCTGAAGCAGAGGGCCTGGGAGCTGTCTTGCCCAGAGCATCCGCTGCTCAGCCACTGCCCTTGTCCTGCTCTGAGCTTCCTGGCTTCGCCATGCTCCAAACACGGATTGCACCATTCTGTGCACAACCAGCACGTGCTCATGCAGTGCTTCGGTGGTGTCTTCTGGAAAACAGGGTTTGTCGAAGGGCCACAGCCCCACGCAGTCGTTCCTTGTCCTGTCACTTACCTCAACCTCATGTCCTGCTCTGCAGTGTTCAAGCTCTCTCGTTGCTCCCACAGCAGCCACTCTCGCAGGCGAGAAATGTCTGTGCCGTGTGGCAGTTCGGGGACAGTCTTTAATTTGGCCACTTGTTCTTGAAGTATTTTCTGAAAGGTGACATCGGAATTTAGCTCCTCTTTGCCACAAAAGTTCTCGTGAAGCTGCATGTGAAGGCTTCACACTGCCCCAGAGCAGATCTCTGCTTCACCAGCACCCAGGGGAGGAGAGCAGGGCTCCCTCAGCGCTCCCAGAGGGAGCTCAGGGTCAGCTTTTCTGCTTCCAGCCCTGCTGCCTGCACCAGCTCAGCACGGACGCACACTCATTTCCAGGCCACAAGGGCTGTCCCGCCAGCGCAGCCTTCCCCGCTCCTCCAGCTCCTGTCTTGCTGGGAGCAAACAAGGGAATCCCCAGTCCTCTGCACCGCCAAGAGTCCGTGTGAGCCCTGAGCTTTATCTACCTGTTCTCCATGGTACATTTTTTCAGCCGTTATCTTGAGTGTGGTTAGGTATTGTCTGTATTGGTTGAACTCCCGCAGATTGCAAACGACCTATGGTGAGATGAGGGCAGGAATGAGCCAGTGCTTGGGCCGCTCGTGCCTTGCTCCTCGCTGCGCCGCCTGGCCACGCACCCGCTGCAAGAGCAGCTCGCAAAGCCCGCAGCGAGCGCGGGGCTCCTCCCGCCCCTGCAGGGACAGC